GGACTGTATGCGATCCCTTAAGGCACATCATGATAAACAATATAAAAAATACAACGTAAAATACGTGAATCATTTCTCTTGCATTGCCAACTCAGTTGGCATAATCGGTCTGATGTTTTCGAGGGCCCTGGTGGGACAACGTGGAGGGTCTCGTGATGCGTGATATCCAGTAGTATCTATTCATCACCTTTGTACAATGTGGTGGGTACATAAAAGAGTTTTCATTTTTCGGGCACGTTCCAGACGTACAAAGACGGTAAAGCTGTTTGCACGTATGTGTATAGAGACCAAAACTAGAACTGCTGTCTGATTAAATGAATTACCAGTTGCATATCCTCCTGTTTTTATACTAGGACGCATCGTCTCTGTGTGCCAACATAAATTTTCCTTGCTCATTGGGATTCAAAGTTGTCCCTTCCTAAATGCAATCTTAGATGAATCCCAATGTGGCTCGGAAACATCAAAACACATGCATATAAACGACAGATCAGCAAGAACAGAAAAACGTCTATCAAAGATTCGTCTTTGGCCTTGTTTTCGATCGATCAATCATCATCGTGACCAGAACAACTTGGATAAAAAATCATATCACGTGCTATGTGGTTGATTAAGCGATGAGTATTCAATTCTCTGTGGGACATTCCAGTCATGAAGCGTTTCTGTTACTTTGATTAAGGCAGCTTTGCTTTGAGAATTGAAATTAAAAAATCGCGCTATCTCAGAACTCAGATTCATGTTCTCCAACTTCACCAAACACTTCATGAACAATCCATTTTTCGAGGCTCCTGCAATCTTTCTGTCAGTTCAAACTTCTAGATGCTACTGAAATCACAATTTGCCTTCGATTTTCTTGCACTCTTATTAAGTACCGTTAAAGTTGTATGGAAGAACGCCTTCGAAATCAAAACTTGTCTGACTACTCTTCAACATGCAACTAAATTTTCAAGCTATTTTTACGGACACAAAAGAACACTGTCACCTCGTGAGCACAATTAAAACTATTTTATTAACTTCTTCTACGCCAATCAAAAGTCAACTTTGTGATGAATTCTTAACGAGTTTGACAATTAAAACCAATTACTGACAGTAGTCGAAAGCCCACGGTAAACCGATTGGCAGAGTCAAACTAAAAGTAAACGTTGTATCATGGGAATTACTTAAAGGCTCATGCTTCTCTTTTCCCAACAGGATATTTAAATAGTTAAAACTTTTTCAGTAAAAAATCACATAGAGTTACAGGTAGAAGATAACTAGAAGAAGATAAGCTAGTCTTCAAAGAATTTGCGTTTGTTTTTAGTTGTGTACGTATGTGAGGTGTATCAGGGTTTCATCGAGTCTGCGCTTGAAAGACTCAGTAGTTGCTGCACAAACGACGTGAGATGGAAGGGTGTTCCAAGTACTGCATACTCTGACTGCGAAAGATTGACGTCGGCATTCCAGTCGACACTTTGGAATCAGTAACTTGAAACGGTGTCCTCTAAGGTGCACATTGTTCGATAACATGAGCAGCTGCCCACATGGATGGTTTGGGTTCTGCAGTATTTGGTACGTCAAAATCAAGTTTCTCCGAATTCGGCGGTACTGAGCAGAATATAGTCCCAGTTATTGTAATCTCTCCTCATAGGTGAGGTAATGCAATCCCTTGACCATCTTGGTGGCCAACCTTGTGGACTCTCAAGCATCTTGCGATCACGTTGCAACCATGAACTGCAAACTTTGATGGCCTACTCTGTGTACGATCCAATGTACAATGATAACAAACGTGGAGACAGTGCTGATTCAAACCGGCCAAAGACTCGCTTAAGCAAGCTGACATTCTTCAAAACAGCGGACGAAGCCTCAGCGCAATTGACGGAGCAGCTTAACTGTCTTGAAAAACAATACCTAAGTCCTTTTCCCTTGAAGTATGTGGTAGCTGCTGATTCCCGATGAACTACGAGAGTCTTCTCTTGTGACGTAGGTATAGAACTTTGCATTTAGAAACATTGAATTCAATATCATTCACCTGAGATCATTGATAAGCTGGGTCAAGTGTTTCTTCAAGTGTTAGCGAGCCCTCGGGTTCTGTTTCTCTATTCCAGATTTTGGCGTCGTCTGCAAACAGTATTGTTTTTGGACCTAGCACGTTCGGTAGATCATTTTTGAATGCGAGGAAAAGATGGGGACCGAGTGCAGACCCTATCGAGAATTCGAGATAAATCACATCATCAATGGAAAATGCAAAACCGTCTGATCAGCTGCGTGGTGGCGTAGTGGGTAGCACGCTTGCGTTCTGCCCATGAAGTCCCTGGTTCGATCC